TGAAATAGAATAAAAAATATGCCTGCGACTGCTGACAGTTTACCGCCGACTCGATAATTTAACACTGGCGCCATCTCGCGGCATTCTCCCATCTGAACTTCTTTACCACACAGCACACCATCAATAATTTCTCCTAATTATACAAAATAACCTATTAATGGGTATTAATTGGGACCAATTGTTTGTCTATCAGCATTTAAATAATTTTTTGATTATATTCCAATCATTTTTGGCCCATTTTTCGCCTTAAAATGACATCCATGCACATCCATGGTACATCCATGCTACAACATGGATCCTTATTCGCCAGGGTAGTGAATATGATGAACGAAAGTGGAATGTTCCTTTTAAATGGAAGAAGCCCAGGGGACTATCCTGGGCAGTTAACGTTTAGTAATCATCTAGGTTGCAGCACTGTTGATTATCTGTGGATAAACGTGGCAGCGCTTGACTTTATCCAGAGTTTGGTAGTTTACGATGAAATTTTCACGTCAGATCATTTCCCGGTACTGCTTTCTATTAATATTCCTGGCTTTCTAACCAATGAACCCGTGGGAACTGACAAGTCAATGGATTTGGAGAAACTGAAATGGCTACCAGAACTTAGCTTAGAATTCACAAAAAAGCTGGAACGTTTATTCGCTGATAACCAACCTACTGATTTCAACGGTGTGAACGAAAAGAATGAGTTTCTGAGAGAATCGGTCTTTACCTGCGCTAAAGAAGTGGGAATGATGGTGGTGATAAAAGCAAATTTTAACAAGGAGAGTATTAATGTAGGAAATGAAAAATGGATGGATTCAGAGGCACTCCTTTACAAATCAAACGTAAATAGCACTTGGAGGTTGTATAAGAGAAATAGGGTAAAGAATGATAGGGAATCAGATAAATTATTGCTGGGGGAATATCACTCAATGAGAAAAGAATTTAAAGAGGTTGTCAATAACAAGAAAAAAGTGTATTTCCATGATCTGAGAGAGAAAATTGCCAATGTAAAAAATATTATTGAATTTTGGCTAACGGTCAGAGAGATAAACAAATCATTCTAAGGGGGTAACTTAATCTCTAGGGAAATGTGGGAGGAATTCTTCAAAGATATCTATCCGCCTCGTTCTCTTATAGAATTCTCGTTCTCGGATGTAAGGCATCCAACTCTCGATGCAGTAATCTCTCTTGATGAACTGGAATTAGTCCTCAAATCCTCTAAAAATAAAAAAGCCCCTGGTCCAGATGTAATTCCCAACGAATTTTGGAAGGCGTTAACAATAAACGGGAAAAAATTTATGTTGAATTTAATGAACGAGGTCTTTGAAAGTGGATCTGTCCCAGATACATGGCCCTGTGCAGCGCTTGCTATGTTACATAAAAAAGGTGATAAAGAGGAGCCCAGGAATTACAGAGGTATTGCGCTCACGACTAATATATTGAAAATTTTCACTAAAATTCTCGTCAAACGTATGGAGAGTTGGGTGGAAACATCTGACATTCTTCCGGACTCTCAGGCGGGCTTCAGAAGAGGTAGAGGCTGTGAGGACCAAATCTTTGCCCTTTTAACATCTGTCCAGATGGCTCTGAGATGGCCAGGCAACACAGTCTTTGTAATTTTTGTGGATTTTCAAAGGGCTTTTGATTCGGTTCCTCACAGCCTTTTATGGTTGAAATTGTTTACGTTAGGTTTAACCTCAAAAATTGTAAAAATTCTAATTAACATGTATAACAAAGCGGCAGGGCAAATGAAAGTAAGGGGGATCTTCCAAATAAGTTGGATCTTAGAGAGGGTGTGCTGCAGGGAGAAATCCTGAGTCCCTTACTTTTTATATTATTTGTATCAGACTTCGAATCATTCTTTAGAAGAAAGGGTTTCAGGGGGCTCAACATTGATGGGCAACATGACCTACTAATGCCAACGTATGCTGATGATACAGCCATCCTTTGTCACAGCCCTCAAGATATTAAAAATAAACTGCGTGCACTTAAAGAATACTGTGACTTGAACGGACTCAAGGTAAATACTTCTAAAACAAAAGTAGTCCCTTTTAGATCGAGTGGTAGAATTTTGAAAAGTGAGAAAGAAAGCATCTTCTACGACGGGAATCTAATCGAAACTGTTAATTCTTACGAATACTTGGGGATTTTGGTTGAAAGTAGTTTGAAGGGAACGAGCACTGTAAAACATGCAATCTCGAAGGCAAAATCAGCGATTGGTGTCACAAAATCGATTGTAATAAATTCAAAATCTGATGCGTGGTGGACAAAACTTAAACTATTTGAGAGTGTCGTATCCCCTTCGCTTTTGTACGCAGTCGCATCGTGGGGTCTTGGGCATTTTGAGGAAATTGGGCGAATCCAAAATGAATTTTTTAAATAGATCCTCCTGATTCCCGCCTGTACCCCGGGTCACGCTCTCAGGCTGGAATTGGGCCTGAAACATTTGACTGTCAGGGCCCTTGAACTGACAATCAATTGGGTAATTAGAATCTTGAAAATGGATTCCAATCGATTGCCTCGCATATGTTGGGATAGGTTGCTGTTCTTGCTCGATAAACCCACAAATATTGCTAAGTATAACTGGCTATCCAAATTAAATTCCATACTTGCAGAAATTGATCTGGATTTTTTAGGCCGTTGCGTCGACCCGGCTGTCTGGAGTGATAATCAGGGGAAAATTTTGACTAGATTCGAGGATAACTTGAAAGCCCAAGACCTTATTAGATATTCTGAAAGCCAAGCAATGCAATTGAACATTCCTCGTAATTTCTTTGATAGATCAGCTAGGTACCTCCAATTGCGTTGCCCTATGGCGTTTACGAGAATTGTAGCTCAAGTCAGACTCGCAAATGTGTACACTTTTAGGCTGCTGTATAAAAACAAAATATTCAGACTAAACCCTCTTGAGTACTGTAAAATGTGTCATTTTGAACTAGAGAATCTTGAGCATATCATCATAAGATGCCCCCACTATCACAACCTTAGAGTTTCACATTTTAATGATATTGTAGTTAATGAACCCAGAGAGAACTGGTTACACGTGCTACTAAACATTAAGACTCCTAGGCAAGCCAAACAGTTGGCGCTATTCATGATAAATGCGTTGGAATTTAGAGACAATTATATGAATGATGAGTGAAAATTTTAGTGAGAGTTAGCATTAAGTTTTGGACTGTGTAGCTATCCGTATGATCATTATTTGTTAATTGGTAATTCAAACTTTGTACCTGAATTGTTACTATGTTGTGTAAGCCACCCCCGTACAATGTGTCTCCTCATGATGTAAACTCACGCAGGCACGTATGTAATAATAATAATAATGATAATAATTTGTGGAAAAATTGAGATATCAACTTGAAATTTGGACAGAAAATATGTATACCTGTTCACATGAAGTCTTCGAAACAATGAAATTTTTATAGCACCCATGGAGGTGGCGGTAAATATGTGAAAATTTTTTGTCGCCATCATTATATTCAGGGCGAAAAAAGTGAGACATCACTCAGTGACGTGCTCACTATCATATGGCGCGCTGTCATATACTCATTACCCCCAGCTTGTTTTTACACCCGAGGCCTCTTAAAACAGAATTATTTTATTTTTGCGTGCAGATAACCTACCCGAGGAAGTTGGGCGTGGACTTGGCGAAGGTTCTGTATCTAAGTCCATCGGCAATGAATAAGAATAAGCGTTTCGCCGGGGGTCCATCAACTGGTGGCACTGGACTCAAATCTCTTAATATCGGAGAATGGAAATTGACGTCTAAGACACCCCAGAGGATTGTCAAGTGCATTGCAAACCCCCATAGTCCCAAAATATACTCATTCTTAGGCATTTTTTCCAACCATTAACGTCTCTTCAGGATTGTAGATGATATAAGGATCACAACTTTAGAATGGGAATCTTTCCGAAATATTTACTTGAGATTATCACTATTATCTTAGGATACGTTGAAAAAGATGCTATAGACCAGTCTATACAGCGAGTAAACTACGAATGGCGAGATTCTTCCAACGGGAATTGTAGGTTATGCATCGAGCCAGAGATTATAGGGGAGATCAGCAGGGCCAATGTAAAGTGTTCAACAGCGAAATGCAAAGCGGTGGCGCATGGACTACGATGGAGCGTACGGAACTGTTGGTATGGGAGGGCCCGAGTATAAATTTGTCGATAACCGGAAAGGGGTTCTCAATACAGTAGCTCCTCGCATTTTGTAATAATTGTCAGGAATGTAAAATCGAACATATTATAATCAATAGTATAATGAATGCAGAATCTAATGATCTAAAAGTCTTGTCCTTTTTCTCGACATATTTATTATTGACACGTAGGTCAAAAAATTCATAGAAAATCCCAGTGCTGTCGTTGGAAAACTCTATAGTTTNGTCAAAAAATTCATAGAAAATCCCAGCGCTGTCGCTGGAAAACTCTATAGTTTTCCAGTGATTCTATTGAATAATTGTGCAAATTTTGTTTTTTTTTTACTCTAGTACTGTTCGATTATATATATTTATTCCCCCCCTGAGTGAGAAAGGAATATGTATCGCGCTCGCTCCCACTCATTGTCGTCTCCATCACGTTGGCTCGTGACCGTCCTCCGCCAAACTTAACGAGTGCGAGTGAGAAAGAAAATGGAGAAGGAGAGAGAAAACATTCCAACTCGTTTGAACGGTTGGAACGTTTTCGTTGTTCTCCAGCGATCTACACATAGTGGGATTAATTCAATAATAATAGATTAATGAATAAGATTTTTCGCGGATTATTGCGAGATTTAGATGAATGGTTTGCCTCCTTCAGTGACCATAAAAAGTTGTCACCAATCGAGAATATCTCCCGATGGAATGGAACGATCTGAATGAATCAAGTATCAATTCGAATCTTTAAAAAATGNTCGTTTGAACGGTTGGAACGTTTTCGTTGTTCTCCAGCGATCTACACATAGTGGGATTAATTCAATAATAATAGATTAATGAATAAGATTTTTCGCGGATTATTGCGAGATTTAGATGAATGGTTTGCCTCCTTCAGTGACCATAAAAAGTTGTCACCAATCGAGAATATCTCCCGATGGAATGGAACGATCTGAATGAATCAAGTATCAATTCGAATCTTTAAAAAATGAATCGAGAGTGAAAAAAAATCAGGGAATTCCACTCTGACATTTCTCTATTGTCTGTATTTACCGAGAAAAAAAAATGTTCCTAGGAATCGATGTGTCTTTTTTAGGCAGCATTTCTGAAATGCAATGAGCAAGCAATGTTAAAATTAAGTCATTTTGTAAAAAATTTCTAATCACATGATCCTGAAAATCAAAGGAAAGTCTTGAATTCAGGAATGATGTCTGTAGGTGTCAGTAATATTTTCGCGGAAATTCCGGGAACCGTTATTGGGAATTTTTATCGCGTTGCCGTAATACGGAAATTTCAAGGAATTTCGTCATTGCAAATTAAAAATTTCTATAAATTTCAGTCCAATTATATGTGTAGGTCCATGTAAAAAGGGCCCATTGTATCGCATCTAATTTCTGAGATATCCCCGTTTTTCTCTCCACCCCATTTATCCCAATGTTAAATTGATTTTTTGATCTTCTATACGAACGTCACACGGAGAAAAATAGATCGATAAAAGTCTTGCGATCGCAAGGAGTTTCCCAAAGATCCTCATTTTTCATGCACGAAGGAGCGGAGGAATGAATTATCAAAAGCGTGGAGTAACCCCGAACGGTTCTCCGGTGTCGAGTGAGTCCGGAGGGGCTCCCCTGATTGGAAGATTCATTTCTCCCCCCCCCCCC